TAGCAATTTTATCCATAAATTTTCATGATCCACGCAGCCAAATGCCTTTGCATAGTCAGTAAAGCACAGGTAAACATCTTTCTGATATTCTCTGCTGGAAGCACTCACTCTGTAAAGACTACAACCTCGGAAACCCTATGGGGCAGCTCTACCCTGTTTTATAGGGTCACTGTGAGTTGGAATCGACTTGACAGCAGTGGATTTGGTTTTTTGTTTTGTTTTTTAATACGAATTTGAGGATTGGCATTTCTATTTCTGCAAGAAAGGCTGTTGAAATTTTGGTAGGGATTGCATTGACTCTGTAGATGACTTTGGGTGGGATTACCGTCATTACAGTGTTAAGTTTTACTTACAATCCATGAGCACAGGCTGTCTTTCCGTTTCCATTTCTTTCAGCAGTGTTTTTTACTTTCCAGTGTACAAATCTCTCACCTCATGGGTTGAATTTATTCCTAGGTTTTTTCCTTTTGGATGCTATTGTAAGTGGAATTGTTGTCTGAATTTTTCATTTTGAATTTTTCATTATGGGTGTATGGAAGCCAAAGTGTTTTTTTGTGTGTTGACCTTGTGCCTTGCAGCTTTACTTAATTTGTTTATTAGCTCTAGCAGTTTTTGTGTGTATGTATGGATTCTTTGGAATTTTCAAAATATAGGATCCTATCTGCAAATAAAGACAGTTTTATTCTTCCTTTCCGATTGGGATACCTTTATTTCTTTGTGTTGCCGAATTGCTCTAGCTGGAACTTGTAGTACGATGTCGATTGGTGGTGGTGAAAGCAGGCATCCTTATTCCTGATTTTAGTGTGTTCTGTCCTTCACCATTGAGTATGATGTTAGCCGTGAGATTTTCCTAAATGCCCTTAATCATTTCGAGAAATTTCCTTTTTATTCTTAGTTTTCTGAGTGTTTTTATCCGAAAGCACTTTTCCACCTGCTGTGCTTTTCCACCTTGAGTATGTTCTGAGTTCTGCAAAACAAAGCCAACCTTCAGACAGGGTAAAACAGACAACCTCAATTCTTTGACAATCAGGGCTGCTCTGTGCCCTCCAGAACCAGGGACCAAGGTCCTGCACTGAAAATGAGGCTACTGTCTTCGAAACCTCTGCCTGGCTATGGGAGGGATGCGTCAAGGGCAAGTAAAAACACTGCAAAGCTTCCCTATGATTTTCACATAGCCTTCCCCCACCCCCCGCCATTCACCGTTAACTTGGTTGCTGTAAACCTTTGACCAGAGTTCTGAAAAAGCTGATTCAGTTTTTGCTATAGTCTTCATTGTTTTCATGGAGGGAAGGCTCTTGAACCTACTTGTGGTTGTTAGGTGCCTTCAAGTCGACTCAGACTCATAGCTGCCCTATGTGTAACATATGTCCTGGGCCATCCTCACAATCGTTGCTATGTTTGAGCCCATTGTTACAACCACTGTGTCAGTCCATCTCATTGAGGGTCTTCCTCTTTTTCGTTGACCCCCTATTTTATCAAGCATGATGTCCTTCTCTAGGGATTGGTCCCTCCTGATAACACGTCCAAAGTAAGCAAGACAGAGTCTCGCCATCCTCGCTTCTAAAGAGCATTCTGGTTGTACTTCCTCCAAGACAGATTTGTTTGTTCTTCTGGCAGTCCGTGGTATATTCAGTGTTCTTTACCACCATCATAATTCAGATGTGTCAGTTCTTCTTCGGTCTTCCTTTTTTATTGTCCAATTTTCCCGTGTGTATGAGGCAATTGAAAATACTAGGGCTTGGGTCCAGGAGCACCTTAGTCATCAAAGTTATATCTTCGCTCCCTACTCTACAATTTTCCCTGATTATCTGTACACTAATTTTTATTTATGCACGTAGTATATGAATTTATTTTCATTTAAAGAATCCCAGGGTGATAGAAGTATGCTGCATAAAAAATGCAAGTCGCTTCACCTTTCCCACCTCATTTCCATGCCACTCAACATAGTAACCATTGATAAAAATGTTTTGTGCGTTCTTCTATCCTCCTTTCTGTGCGTGTGCATACACGTGTGTACATATATATAGTGCATATATTTTAAACATAAATCATATTGTATGTAATGTTCTGCAACATACTTTTTTCATTTGATAATGTCTTGGGGATCTTACTATTAAAATACACATTGATTCTTTTAACATCAGCAATGTATTCTATAGAATGACTTTCTTGTAATTCATGTAATCACTCCAGTTTTCATAGTTGTTGAAGTTTCTCTCCTAACTCTATGCTCTTGTAAATTGTTTTTCTTTTTTTTACAATATTGTATAACAACTCTTTTCAAATGGTGGGTTTTCTCCAGAAGAAATTTACAAGAGTATCAAATGATGTGCCCATTTATAAATTGTTGTACTAAAAAGGTTTTACATATTTGTATTACACCTAAGCATGTGTAAGCATGCCTGTTTTGTTAAACTTTTCTCAATGATTGATATAATTCCTTTTGTAATATTTGCGGTTCTTTAGAGTAAAAAAAATTTTGTTTTAATTTGTAGTTATCTGATTGCTTTTGATGTTGAGTTTTGAAAATCTGTTTATCATTTGTCATTTTAATTTTGTGATGTGCCTATTATTATACTTTAGCCATTTTTTCTTTTTATTTCTTTTCAGTGTTTTATTTCTTTCCTTGTTGATTTAAATAGGGCTATCTATATATTCAGGATAAGCAAAACAAGTCTGTTACCATCCAGTGGGTTCTGACTCATAGTGACCCTGTAAGACAGAGTAGAACAGCCTCATAGGGTTTCCAGGAATTCCAATCTTTTCAGAAGCTGACTGCTACAAGTTTTTCCTGCGGAGTGGCTGGTAGATTTGAACCTCTGACCTTTCGGTTAGCAGCCCAACACTTAACCACTGTACCATCAGGGTTTCTTCATATTCTGGATAAAACCAAAACCAAACCCATTGCTGTTGAGTCGATTCCGACTCATAGTGACCCTGTAGGACAGAGTAGAGCTGCCCCATAGGTCTTCCAAGGAGCAGCTGGTGGATTCAAACTGCCGACCTTTTGATTAGCAACCATAGCTCTCAACCACTGCACCACCAGGACTCCCTGTTCAGGATAACAAAACAACCAAACCCATTGCCAGTGGGTCGATTCCGACTCATAGTGACCCTACAGGACAGGGTAGAACTGCCCCGTAGGGTTTCTAAGAAGCGGCTGGTAGATTTGAACTGTAGACCTTTTGGTTAGGAGCCTGAGCTCTTAACTACTGTGCCACCAGGGCCCCATATTCGGGATACTAATCCTTTATTAGAAGGATTCCTTGTGGTGGATCAATAGTTAAGTATGTTGCAAATTATTTACCCCAGTGCACTTCCTCCTTTTTAACTTTGTTTCCAGTGTTATTTGTGCTACAAATGCTTTTCTCGTTTGTGTGTCCAAGTGTGGCTGACTGTAAGAGAGCTGGAAGTTGAACTATTTTTAGGAAGACTTTCTCCATTCCAGTATTACGGATATTTGCAAGGTTTTTTGTCGTTCTGTTTTTCTTTCTTTCTTTTTTTTTTTAGCATGTTAACTAAACTAGAATGTGGGCGTTCACATGTGTATGTATGAACCGTTTTTTAATATATGTCTCTTATTCTTTTTCTGATGAAACTGTAGAAGTTCATTTGTCTTTGGCTTTGCTTATCATAGTTTTGTGATGCAAAAACTAAAAAAAAAAATTTGTAGAAAAATGTATTAATTTTTATCACTTCTGAATTTCATAGCATAGGAAAATTTTCCATAATCCTAGTAAAAAGAAATTCATTCATTTTTAGATTTTTAGGCACATGCACTACAATGGAGCCATTTCCAATGTATATTATTAAGTGACAAAAGCAAGGTTCAGAACAGCGTGTATAGTATGCTACTTTCTATCTCAGAATGAGCTCTGTGCATGTGTGTATGCATGCCTGCACATGTATAAATAAGTATATGTATGTATCCAGACATATACATACTGATACACACATGCGTACGTATTTTCTTGTATTTCCAAAAATATATAATAGAAAGACTAGCAATGGAAGGATAAACCAAAAGTTAGTGAGAATGTTCACCTGTCAGGGGAACGAGTGAGCGTGGTGTAGGTGTCAGGTATGGCAGCCAGGCTGTCTGTCTGAGTATGTTCTTGTCGTTAGTCGCCGTTAGTTTTCAGTTCTGACTCACGGCAACCTCATGTGTGTAAAGCAGACGTGTGCCCAGAGGGTCTTCAAGGCTGTGACCTTTTGGAAGCAGATTCCTAGGCCTGTCTTCTGAGGTGCCTCTGGGTGGGTTCGAACTTCCAACCTTTTGGCTGGTAGTTGAGCGCTTAACCATTTGCACCATCCAGGGGACTCCCCAGTATGTTCCTAGAAATACAAATTGAAATATTTACTGGTGAAATGGTATAATCCCTGGGATCACTTTCAAATAACCCTATGAGAGGGTAAAGGAGGAGAATTGATGACAGTTACTGAACTTGGAGATTAAGTTTTCTTTAAGTTGCCATTGAGTTGATTCTGACTCATGGTGACCCCGTGTGTGTCAGAGTAGAACTGTGCTCCACAGGGTTTTTGATAGCTGTTTTTCTGAAGTAGATCGCCAGGCCTTTCTTCCAAGGGATGATGAGAATATGGGGTTTATTATAGTAGTTTTTCCATGTTTGGAAACCTTGGTGGTACAGTGGTTGAGAGCTATGGCTGCTAACCAAAGGGTCAGCAGTTTGAATCCCCCAGCTGCTCCTTGGAAACCCTATGTGGCAGTTCTCATCTGTCCTGTAGGGTTGCTATGAGTCAGAGTTGACTCAAAGGCAGTGGGTTTGTATACATATATGCCTCCAGGAGGTTGTTGAATTCTTGTGGTTCAGTGTAGACCCGGCATGCACTTATCCTGAAAGGACCACGAATCTCATGTCTCCCTGGAAGCCAGCCTCATGTTTATCGACACACTGGAGTCCCCTTGAAGCTAAATCTACCTCTGTGTGTTCTTTCTCTCAGATTTACCTCTTACCAAGGTCGCCGTATTTGTTTTGCAGGTACAGCAGGTACAGACCGTGCAGCAGGTGCAACACGTCTACCCAGCTCAGGTGCAGTATGTGGAAGGAAGCGATACTGTCTACACCAACGGAGCAATGTAAGTTCATGTGTGGGAGTCTTTTAATTCTCCCACTTGGTTAGAGAAAATAGTGCGCTTTCTGACACCTCCCACTCACCCTACACTTTTTCTGTGCCTTCAACAGCAATCCTTTACTAGAACAGCATCATTTAGATTAGATGAATGTTTAGAGCTTCATCTATGTTTATTAAGAATGTATGCTCATTTACCCTCTCACTTGACAGGTGTAGAATATTTTAAGTTATTAAAATTGTTACGTCCTTTAATAGTTTTCCCTAGCTTGGGAAAGAACTTACACCCCTTGATGGTGATTTTCATGCCTTATAAACTTTATACATTTTTTTCTTTTTGTAAATAAAGTATGTTTGTGTGTGTATAAATTAATATAAAGTAGTATATTTGGAGGGATTTGTAATATTCAATTAGGAACTCCACATGAAAGTGCCTAGTACTCAGTCACTCTCATTTCCTATCTAAACCCTTCCACCCAGCTCATCTCCTTTGCTTCAATGATAATGTAAATTTATAAATTTATTTCACTTGGGTTTTCAGCCACTTTGGATTAGGATTCAGGAAGTTATTATAAGTAAACAGACTGAACTATTGCAGATCACCAGGATCGTTTTCATTTACCATTTGGGTTTTTCTAGGTTTGCAATTTGTTGACTTTCTCTGTTTACCTGCAATGAATTCAGATTCTCTCCATACCTCTTCTTCTCACCTCCCATCAGTGTTGTACCTCCAGACAATACCTTTTGCTTTCTTTAATCTTACTACACCCACTGTTTCCTTGGATGATTTCATCGATTGTCAGGAGATCAACCTGTATGTTTGCTCCGTTCGCTATGATGTCGCTAATGCCAGGAGAGCGCGTGACACATTGTAAGAGCTCAACTACGCTTAAAATCCTGACTTAACTACATACTAGGTTTATAACCTTGGTCAAGATACTTAACCATCGTGAAGTCTTAATGTATTTTCTTGAGGAGGCAAGAAGATAATAATCTCAGTCTTATTGAGCTTTTGTGATGATTTGATGGAGTCCCTGGGTGGTGCAAGCAGTTAAGCACTTGACTACTAACCGAAAGGTTGATGGTTTAAACCCACACAGAGTCACCTTGGAAGAAAGGCCTGACCGTCTGCTTCCGAAAGGCCACAGCCTTGAAAACCCTGTGGAGCAGGTCTACTGCGCACACATGGCGTTGCCGTAGTCGAAATTGACTCAAGAGCAAGTTTGGTTTTGGGTTTTTGCTTTTTGGTGAGGATTTGAGGAAATATATTTAAAGTCCCCAACATGGGACCTGATTGTTGTTGTTATTGTTAGGTGCCTCCAAGGTGATTCCAACTCACAGCAACCCTGTGTACGACGGAAGAAAACACTGCCTAGTCCTGAGCTATCCTCAGAATCATTGTTATACTTGAGCCCATTGTTGCAGCCACTGTGTCAGTCCATTTTGTTGAGGGTCCTCCTCTTTTGTGCTGACCCTCTTACTTTACCAAACATGATGTCCTTCTCCAGGGACTGGTCCCTTCTGATAACATGTCCAAAGTATCTGAGATAAAGTCTCGCCATTCTTGCTTCTAAAGAACATACTGGCTGTACTTCTTCCAAGACAGATTTGTTCATTCTTCTGGCAGTCCATGGTATATTCAGTATTGTTCACCAACACCATAATTCAAATGCGTAAATTCTTTGGTCTTCCTTATTCATTGTCCAGCTTTCACATGCATATGAGGCAGTTGAAAATATGGCTTGCATCAGGCACACCTTAGTTCTGAAAGTGACACGTTTGCTTTTTAACACTTTAAAGAGGTCTTTTGCAGCAGATTTGCCCAATGCAGTATGTCATTTTGATTTCTTGACTGCTGCTTCCATGGGCATTGACTGTGGATTCAAGTAAAATGAAATCCTTTACAACTTCAGTATTTTCTTCATATATTATGATGTTACTTATTGGTCCAGTTGTGAGGATTTTTGTTTTCTTTATGTTGATGTGCAATCCATACTGAAGGCTTTAGTCTTTGTCCTTCATCAGTAAGTGCTTCAAGTCCTCTTCACTTTCAGCAAGCAAGGTTGTGTCATCTGCATAATGCAGGTTGTTAATGAGTCTTCCTCCAATCCAGATACCGTGTTGTTCTTCATCTAGCCGCTAACACAGAGCCTGGTACATACTAGATAAATATATAAATGAAAGCTTTTCATTGACCCTACATTTTGTACACTGAAAACTGCAAAACATTGCTCAAAGAAATAGAAATGGAAAGGCACCCTGTGTTCATTTCTTCATTGCTTTTGTCACTGGCTCTGTGCATGTCGCCACTGCCTTAGAACCTCCCTTATCTGTCAGATAAAATCCAGCTCCCCACCTTGGGATTCTCCCCATTCCTACCTTCCCAGCTTCATTTTCCACCTGTCCCAGGCACAGCCAGCTTTGTGTAATTTCCCCAAAAGACTCCCCTTTTGTGCCCCTGTGTTTTGGGGCATATGATTTTCTCTGTTGGAATATATTCTCTCTCTTCTCTCCTTTCTTCTTCCCAGCACGCCATGCTCAGTCTGGTGTGGTCTTTATGGACTGGCATCAAGCTAGTCTGTAAAGTCCTCCTTTGTGACATGTCCCAGACTCTTCTCTGCAGTTAACCTACCTGCCTCTATCAAGGATAGCACTTTGCCCTGACTTTTTGTCTTAGGCTGGGTTGTCTAGAGAAGGAAAACCACTAAAGCATGTAAATATATATATAGAGAGAGATTTATATCAAGGAAATGGCTCATGCAGTTGTAGAGGCTGGATCGTCCCAAGTCCATGGGTCAGGAAAGAGGCTTCTCCTGATTCACTTAGCCACGGGCGGGCAAACCCAAGACTGGCAGGTCAGAGAGCAGGACTCTTGCTCACAGGCTGCGAAGATCAACAGATCCCAAGATTGGCAGGTAAGATGGCAGGTAAGCTGCTAGCTCAAGTCCCAAGAACTGGAGATCAGATGAACAGGAGCCAGCTGTAGGATCCAGATCAAGCAAAATCCCTCGAGCCTTGCCAGAAAGACCATCTGTGTTGGATTCAGGCCACACGCCCAAGGAAACTCCCTTTCAACTGATTGGCTACTCACAGCAGATCCCATCATAGAGGTGATCACATTATATCCAGTTCCATCATGGAAGTGATCACAACATCATACAGCTGCCAAACTATATCATAACTGCCAAACCACTGAGAATCATGGCCCAGCCAAGTTGACACACAAACCTACCCATCACACTTTTACTTCTGTTGTTGTACAATGAATGCTTGTTTTTGTTTCCCATACTAGGAAGAACTCTCGCTGGATGGGGACTGTTGTTATTTGGTTGTTGTCTTCCATATACGTAGGTGACTGGCACATAGTAATGGCTCAGTAAGTTTCTGTTACTCTAATGAGTGTATAACTCTTTACATATTTTAGACACACTGTGAATATTTTTAAACTGTTTGTGGGTAGGGCCAAGGCCTCCTGTAGCCTGCCTTTGGAATCTTTATCATACAAACTACTGTTGACATTTATGCCAACTAGAAGAGATTCCCGCCATTGGACCTTGACGCTACATGGAAAGTCAGTGGGTTTCTAGACACTAGTGCAGGTCACCCGGTTGTCAGTTGTCATTTCATTCTTGCTTCTGGAATATCTGTCACGAGAACCCCAGAGTGAAATCACTGTAAAACCGGCCTTTGTTCAAGTGTCTATCATCTCCCATCTAGTTTGATCTCCTGGTTCAAAAACATCCCAGGTAAAGCCATACCAGACCCCACTGGAGAGCTAAATTACCATTCTGCTGTCTACTTCCATAGCATTTTCTTACTTTTATTACAGAATTCTCTGAGCTGACAATCCCAGAAAGTGTGACAAATAGAGGTTTAAGCAAATTAGGGCTTTTATTTTTGTCAGATAATAAGAAGCCTGGAAGTAGCATCTTGTGCAAATCATTAGCTCTATATAGTGCAAATATAAAATAAGCCTTTGTGGAGAAAATTTTACAGGCTGACATATAGCAGAGGGGGCATAGCGGACTGAATGCACCGTGAAAATTGCTCCAGTAGAAGGATCTGCCATGATGTGCTGTATATTTCTAGGTAGCTGAGGCGGGAAAAGTCTAGCTGGCTGTGTGATATGGAAAAATGGCCTTCTTGGAAAGGGGGGTGCCTCTGGAGCTCAGCTTCTGCTATTAGCCTGTTCTTCCATTGAGCTGACTTAGACCTGCTGAGCTGGCTCATTGCTAAGCCACCCGATGACAAAAGGATACACGCCTTTAGAATTATACAGAACTGTGCTTCCTCTTAGTCTGTAGCTGACATTGCCTTAGCAGCTCAAGGATATAGGGTCATGCTTTTCTAGCATCCTCATAAGATGTATGCTTTAGTTCCAGCCATCTCATCTGCATTCCAGGCATCAAGAAGGGCAAAGGTGGAAGAAGTAATAAGAAGAAAGGAGCCCTGGGGGTGCAGTGGGTAAGCGCCAGCTGTCACATAGGATTGCTAGGGGTCAGAATCGACTTGAAGACACAGGACAAAGCGGTGACATGTATAAGGAAGCAGACTTTCCCAGGAATTCCCAGCTGGGTGTTGGTTTCTTCCTTTTGGACAGGACTGAGGGACATAGTAATGGCTAATTGCAGGGGAATCTGGGGATGTGAGTTTGTAGCTTTCATGCCCGTATGGTGGAAGACAGCAATGAAAAAGGACAGTTGGAATGGACGTTGACAGAGTTAACCCTACAATATCTGTCACAATCATTTATCATTTTGTACTGGTCCGAGGTAGAGTGGAGAGATTAGGCTTTGCTACTACTTAGTAGTGTGTGACTTTGTGCAAGTTACCTCAGCTGCTTCCCTTTGTGCATCTGTGAGATGGGGATAATTGGCTTATCAAAAGTACTTTGCAGAGTATCTGAGAAATAGTAAGCACTGAGCAAATATTAGTTGTTGCTGTAATGTTATGTACTATAGTTTTTTGTTCACATTTTTCTCTCCTGCCTATATTCTCATGGCTGTC